ATTTCGCCGCGCAATTTGCCGCGCGCGCCCTCGGACGCACGACTTGACCGTCTCCCGGATACCATAGAGGGCTAAATAGGAATGTACTAACCAGGCACAACACCGAATCCAGTCGTTCTCAAGAAGTGGGTCGTATCATTGATGATGTAATTATAGCTTATCTCCTTCCTTTACGTGCTTCTCACAGAGTGACTTACGTTCATCAGGAAATAGGCCATGTGCCCATAACTAGACCACTCTTCACTTTGGCATAAAGCCGAGAGGATGAAATCTTCTGCTTTGATCGATTCTATTCTTCGCCTTCAATTCCCATTCAGAATCTAGTTTTGGATGCATATAAGGGCTAAACAATGATTTGTGGTGGTCAACCGATCTACGATTCTGTACAAGATAGTGCTTTGACAATCCATTTAGCCTGAGCGGGTCTCAGTTTTTGATGCTCGCTTAGACCATATCGGTGTAGCGGGACGTACGAACGTGCGTCCGAGGGTGCGGGCGGCAACTTGCGCGGCGATGTTCGTGACGATTTGTACGACTCCGACGCCAATTTTCGGGGCACAACTCGAAGTAGGGTAGTTTAGCGGGGTCAGATAATCCTCCCAATCCACTCTATTTCAAATTTGAGCCCTAATGATAGGCGCCGAAGTCGTTTAAATCATTACAAACTTCGCCGCGCAATTTGCCGCGCGCATCCTCGGACGCACGTAGTTCCGTTCTCCCTCTGCCGTTGATCACCGAGACGTAAAGCGTGTACACAAAATATCGACGAGGCTCTGATTTGAACCTGTCCATAAAAAAGCTCATCGTTTGATTGGGGCAACGGAGTTGGGTGTGTGCCGATTCGTGCGATTCTGGGTGCGCGCGGCAAGTTGCGCGGCGGAATTCGGTGCGATTTGAACGACTCTGACGCCTATTATTGGGGCACAAACTTGAAGTAGAATAGTTGGGTATGGTCAGCTGATCATACTAATCTACTCTACTTCAAGTTTGTGCTCCAATAGTGGGCACCAGAGTCGTTCGAATCATCACGAATTCCGCCGCGCAATTTGCCGCGCGCACCCGGAATCGCACGAATCGTGCGTCCCCCGACGGAGTTTACATGCGTTCGAGGATGCGGCAGCAAATTGCGCGGCGAAGTGCGTGGCGAGTTGAACGGCTTTAGCGCCTATCCCTGGGACCCACCTTTAAAGTAGAGTCGATTAGCAGGATCGGCTGACCTACTGAACTACTGTACTTCAACTTTGTGCCCCAATAGTTGGCGCTAGAGCTGTTCGAATCGCCATGAACTTTGCCGCATGTATCTCTGGACGCACCAATGTTTCGTCCCTTTGTAATTCCAGTGGAAGAATGCAGTTACTGCAGTGGAACCACCGCTACTTGCTCTGGGAGTTCGTGTAGAAATACGGCCACACGTGATCATACGTTGTTTTCAAATTTCACCTGACCTAAACAAACACTGGACATATGGCAATGGTACGATATCGTGAGCATAGCATTAGGAGGATAGTGATACGAATGAGTACATGCCGGAAGCCCCTTTCATTGTATGCTGGTAGGTACCAGTTGCTAACTATGCGGGCAAACTGTTTTTATAACCCAAATCCCGAGCACAATTAATGGCCATTCTTTCAGAGGTATTGGAGGAAAAAACACCTGGTTTCAAGTTGAGAACTGATTTTGTACTTTTACGTTTCCTAACAAAACTGCACTAAAGGCTATAGAATTTTAGACGTTAGCCCATGAATTATAGAATTTCAATAACTAAAAGTACTCATGAAGTTTCGGAGAAGATTACAGAATTACATGGCTCAGAACTTTTTACTAATTATTACGTATGCATTCACTTGAGAAATCATATCACCTGCGTCACGTCTGAGCACAATTACTACTCCACAAAAACATTGTAACTGGAGTAAGCAGCGTAAATCAACTTCTTTGCTTTTTTCTCCTTTTTTATTTGGTTACATGTTAATGCATAGTGAAGCCTCAGCCAAGTTGTCATACTACTATTCGGCTTGAATTTCGGCCTTGTCGCCCGCGTTGGACGTCGACGCTAGCCGCATGAAAGTATAACACCTCAACTGAGGTTCTACAAAAACACTTATTACAGCGACATATATATTCAGAGACTTATTATTTAGAAATTTAAAGATTTGTTTTTGGCTGTCAGGGTCACCTCTATTACAGAACCAGAAGATGCAGTGCTCTCCGAGCTTTTCACTTTTCATCGAAGCTTCGCAGCTGGTTGTACTGAAATTAATTGCATAGGCTTCCAACCAACAACAGAACCTGTACTAGTCCATTTTATCCCACAGTAGTCATTCCAGCTGCCTTGTCGCATAGTGTTGTTGACGAACATTTTGCTTCTCTCCTTCTGAAGTTGCTTCAGTCTACTATCTGTTATGCTTACTAATTGATTGGATGCAGTGAAAGTTTTGTGAAGCACGTTGACTGAACTGGCTACAAAGCTGTGTTGGGAAAAAAGGAAATGTCTAGGTCATTGTGCTCCTACTTTTGGAGAGAATCAGAATCTTCTAGTTGAGAGGGTTCGAGAGGAAGAATGTGTAGCGAGTCTATCGCGGAGATTCTTAAGATCCTCAGTGAACCTTGTGAGCTTGTATCGGGTGACGATTCTACTAGAAACCCAACGGGAAGCAGCTGTGGTTTCGCGGCAAGCACCGTAATCTCCCACTGCGGATTCAGATCTCCCTTGGGCCGTAAGGTACGCTCTCCTGTTCGGGACTGGGACGCCCCGATTCGGGTCTCTCTCTCTGCTCTCCCCGGCAGCATCTATCTCTCTGCTCTCTCCGAGAGCATACCTTACCGGGAAGGGGACTCTCCCCTGTTCGGGGGAGCATACCTAACGGCCCCTGTTCACAGCGCTCGCGAGTCGCTCCAATCGTGTACTGCAAGTTCGGCATGCGTTCGGGTAGGAAAACTCACACCCATTTCGGTCCAATCGCATTGGAGTCTTACTGACACAACTTGACGGATAACTCGTTTTAAAGGACAGAAAATCATCTCGAGATCAAAAAATGGACGCAATTTCAATTTCCAT